TCTTCCTCCTCGTCGAGAAAATGGAGACACTTCGTCTCTCTCCTGGCTGTGGAGCTGGGAAGGATTTTTCTTTTCTTTTTTCCTTTTTCAGTCCTGGCTCGATTTTTTCCTTTCCCCCGTCCACTCGCCACCACCCTAATCGTGTCATTTCTTCGAGCTTGTGTCTCAGATTTGTGCCTTCTGGGGATTTATTTTTCACTCGTTTCCTCGTTTTCGGTGTCGCCACTAGATTTGATTTGATTTGTTTGGGTCTTTATTTGCTATTTCCTCCGAATCGCTCCGTGTCTCCTGCTTTTAACCAAGGAATGGAAACGGTGCTGCTTTTTGTGGGTGCGGGAAATGCTCGGGCGGTAGGTTTAGGCTAATGCGCTTTTTTATCTTTTTCGGGACCGAGTTTTCTGCTGTGTGTGGTGGGGTTTTTTTTCTTTTTTTTTTTTTTTTCCTTTTGGAGAGAATATTTAACTGTAACGCCTCTTTTTACAGAACAATAAACGGTCTCTTTTTGGAGTAACCCCTTTGGCTTTGCTGTAGAGTGGATGTGAATCTGATCCTTTGTGCTGCTGGGATTATTTTCCGTAAAAGAAACGATGTTTTTTATAAATAGTTTTTACTTGTGCCTTAAAACAGTAGTTGGTTGTGGAGGGGATTTTCTGAAGTCCTCGCAGTTCACATGTATCGGGTTATGGGAGGGCTCCAGTATTTTAGTTATAATTTGTTTTTGCTATTAATTGCAAAATTCACTTACAGATTATGGCAGAAAGCACATGTACTAATGTAAAAAACCGGGCAAAACTGAACGACGTATAGAGGGCACGTTTATATTTACTCGGAAGTGTTCTAAGCAATCACTGGGGGAAGGAAAGAGATGTGGAGGCCTTTGCTTTTCCCCGATTCTCTGCTCCCCGCACCCCGCTCCTCTCCTCGGGCTCCGCAGTACGGAACGAGTCGGGAGCAGGAGAGGCGAGAGGTCCTCCAGCGCTGGCTCCGGCCGTGCCCGGGCTCCGCGGCCAGCCTTTGCGGTCCGGCCCTCCGTGCGAGTGGGAGTGGGAGAGCGCAGGGAAGATGGCGCTGTCTGGCCTCCTGCCAGCGTTTGTTGCGCAGTTTCGCTCCGACTCTCCTCCCCCACGGGCGCCATTTTAAGGTCCTTTCTGCCGCGCCGTGTGGGGCGTTGCCGTCGCGCCCCGCTCGGGCCGTTCGTGTTTACTGGGAAGCGTTACTCTTTCGCGCCGTGAGATCATCTGCCCGGGATCCGCTTGCTTCCCTCCCTCCCCTTCTCTTTCTTTCTTTAAGATAACTGCTGTAAGGGTTTTCTTCTGTGTGTGTTTTAGGGAGAGAGGTGAAGGATTGTTGGCTGCGTGGGTGCAAGGCAGCAAAGAGGGTGGATTGTTTTGGGCATGGGTCTTTTCGGGAAGGGCCCCATCACGCGTTGTCTCCCTGAATTGCCGCGTTTTCCGGCTTCCCCGGTCTCCTGAGCAGTCTGGGTCGCGGCCCCCTGAGGTGTTAAACTGGTTTCGTTCAGAGTGGCCCGTGCTCTGACTTCACAGCCTGTGAACATCGCTCCAGAGCGTGTTTTTGTGTCTCTGAAATACATGTTTCTTGACATGAGGTGCCTTCAGAGGGTAGGAAGAAAAAAAGATAAGAAAGAACGTCCTCTTCTTCTGAATGATGACCAAAAAATACATGGCATTAAAAAATAAATCCACCTTTAAAAATGCTGTAATGTAGCACATAGGGCAAAATAATCCTCGTTGAAGATCCTTCAGTACCTTTAAAAGTGCCTCCAAAACTACAAGGGCGAGTAACTTTTTAGTGGGCGGGTAGATAACTCACTTTGCTGTTACTTTCTTGGTAATTTTTTTTTTTAAGGGGAGACTAGCGTCTTTTCAAGGTTTTATCCCTCCTTTATGTCTCACAGGGAACAGTGCTTTTTCCAAAATAATTCAAATTTGGCGGCTCCACTTCAGTACACCTTTTAAGTTTTGTTTTGGTGATGTGTTTTAGGGATTGTGTTGAAAATGGTCTCCTATTTTTCGATCAACTCTTTTTTTTTTTTTTTTTTTTTACATTTCCGTGTAATCTGATCAATGCTCTTGAGGCTTGAGTTTAATACCAACATCATCTGTATTCAGGAACAGCAAGTGTGCTGCCAGACCAACTCACGCTGTGCCCACTAAGGAATGTGGAATGCTTGTTCAGTTTTTCGTTTTATGGTTTGTGACGGATCAGAGGAGGGCTTCCCCATGCCTCTTGCTCGTTCCTGAAGGAAGTGGGAGATTTTTTGAAATTCGGGATTAATTTCAAGCCTGTTTAAATTCTTCACCTGTTGGTGTCGAAGGGTTTTAAATATTTTTTGTGAAATACACATTTTTATTGCTTGGAATATAAAAAAAAGTTTGGATATAAACTTTTCTAAAGCCTTTCATGGGGACAACCTTGTTAACATTTTAGCTTTTTAAACAATACACCTACTAAAACTTTAATTGTTTAAAAATCTATTAAGTGTGGAGTGTGGTATTTTTTCACATGTTTCAGAAATGTGATTCGATGAAATTCACTCTTTTTTGAAGTGATTATTTTGCATTTTTGTTAACAATAGTCTTGAGATCAAGGTAATGATTTTTTTAGTGGTGGTGTATTTTTATACAATAAAATTTCTCTGTAGTGCACTAAAGTCTGGCAGATTGTGTGTGGATTTTTTCATCAATTTGTGAAAATAATGAAGAAATGACAAAAATGGCATAAAAATGACCAGTTTATATTCTCTCAGGGCATAATGCCAAATGTCTATGTGTATACTCTCTACTCAGACTTGCCTGCATTAAAGCAAAATGTATTCTCACCTTGAGATCTTTGGCAGATAGTATTTAAATATACTGGATCTGTTCTTTTTAGATATATTTCTTTGGCAGTGTCTGAACTTAAAAGTTTTTTCTTTTTCTTGTTGTTGCAAGTAGTACTTTGTATTTCACATAACTTGTTTATGTTGATGGAGGAGTGCAGAAGCTCACCATGTTGATAGACTAGTCCAGTTGTGCTTACATTGGTGCATCTTTGCTTATTTGCTAGTATGATACTCACGTATTTTAAATGTATTCTTATTTTGTTCATTTTTTGAGCACTTTCTTTATGTATTAAACCTGTATTCTTGTTGATAATACTGTCTGTGTACGTGTAACCTTAGGTTAGGTCAGCGCTGCACAGTTGTGCCCTTGAGAGAGAGAGTTCTACCGTAGTGAAATATTTATGTCACCTTATAGATGTGTAGTTTTCCTGCCCACCCCTCCCATGTGTCCTTTTCCAATAGAGTTTACATATTTGGTTTAATTGTACTGAGAGAGAAAAAACGAAGTCCTGCTAGTATAAGCTGCATTTCCATTTCCTTCCAAGGACCCATTCTGTATCCATAAACAGGTGTAAGTCCTGAGCTGAAGAGCTTTGCAGGCATGGATTTGTTGATATGCTGCTTGGGCATTCATTGTACTCTGGCTGTGTTCAGAGTTTTGCTGTAAAACTTCCACAATCGGGTTCAGAAAAGTTGTGTCTGCGTAACTGCGATTGTATTTTATAATGGGGTTCTAATGATCAATGGTTGTGCCTTTTCATGCTGCATTTAGGCTTGTGATAAGTCTAATAGCTGGTGCTTTTTAGCGTAGATGTAGCAGTGAGAGCGTGAAAGTGTTTCTAAGTAATAGATGTAGTCCGGGCTTAAGAGCGTCTTTGATAATATAGCTCATTCTGTTCAGAGAGTTGGCATAATTTCTTCCAGTAGTTCTGCTGGAATAAGCTGCATCTGTGCTTGAAAGGTCTGTCCAGCATAGACGTGGGGATTGTCTACAAAAACAAGCATGTTTTTCTTTCTTACAGTAGAGGAAAAGCAGCAAGATTAATAAACTATTCCAACACTCATTGTGACCTGCAACTGTTCTAGTTCGAAAGTTAGAATAAGCAGTATCAGTAAAGCCCTGTTGCACCAACATAAATGCTGACCTGATGTTTTTTCAGGATCTTCATGTAATTAAATGAGTATATGTATCTTTATTTTCCAATGTTCATTTGCCCCTTCTTTTGTTGTTGAAAAAACAACTATTGTGTCTGTATTATTTTTGCTTTATTTGAGAAGGTCTGAGGTTTTAGACAAAATAAAAATAAGCATGATTAACACAAATAGACTGTCAAGTTTTTTTATTACTTTATTTTCTTTTGCTACTTTCAAAATGTTCTAAAGCCACTTCCAATGTTACTTTGAGTAAGGGAATGCTTACCAAAAGGAGAAGTGAGCAAATCACTGTCAAAACTTAATACAATAGCCTTTCTTTTGTTGAAGTTATTAAGAAATGGTGGTGAAGAGAGGGAAGTCCAGGGAGAAAGTTTTAACTTCATTGTAAGAGACTGACCATTTTTGTACAGGCTGATCTTATGCCTCGTCTCAGGTGGAACTTGCAGTAGTTTTACTATGAAATTGAGTGTGGAATTTCAAAATCTGGTGTTGAAGCTTGAATTTATTGAGATGTATCAACTACAGAAAATATCTTGGCCCCAGTGAAATAGGTGGCAAAATCTCAATGGACTTTACGAAGACGTTGGCTTCAACAAGGACAAGGTTGGCAGTGTGGAGGGTTTTCTGTCTGATTTTGGGGGCGTTGATGCAGACTGCACTGCTGAATTAGTTACACATCTATCAATTCATCGTATTCAAATTCCAGTTGTTTCTCAAACATAATAACCGAAAGGAGTATAAATCTCCGTTCAGCATTAATTATTGGCAGTCATTAGCCGATACTAGCTTGTGTGAACCATGCCTGTGGCAAAGTAACCAGTTCATTTTTTTTCACTACTATGGACGAGATTGGCAATGAAAAGGTATTATTATGGCATTGGTTTATAAATTAATGGAGAAATGATCCGTTCATAGGCAAGTTACATTCTGGGACTGCTTAAGTGTTTTTTCAGTATCTTTGAAAATTATATACACAGAATGAGAAGTATGATACATAGGTGTTCTCTAGCAGAAAAAAAAAAAGTAAAAACATCCAAAGAACTGACTTGATGTTTCTTGAAGTAATTGTGTTGCACAAATAAAATATGCTAATAGCCTGCATTGTTGCATACAGTAGTTTTTCTAGAAATACTTACGAGCATCAAACTTCCTTTGGGCAGGCGAACATTTATTTCCTAACGAGCTGTTGAGATTACACCTCCTTCTTTTCCTCTTTTGGGATGAAACCAGGACCTTTCAAAATGTTTTATGAATATTGAGATTCCTGAAGAATTGTGTATGCAGTGGAGCAGCTCAGAAGATGAGCCCAGAATAGGCTGTAGCATAGTGATGAGGATTGTCACTGCTGGGGAA